CGTCGGATGTGTTGGGTTCACTGTGTAGATCGTCGGATGGTAGGGTAAAGAGACAGAGAGAGAGAGAGAAAGAGTCTCTGCGTGTGTGTTGTTGGGTTTGTTTGTTGGGTCTGTCAAGAAATTAGGGCAAAATCTAAAGAAAAGGGGCCTGAGGTAGTGAGGCGTAAGGAAAAATTGAAAAAAAAATATATATATATATATTTTCCCCCTCCATCTTTCAAATTTTCCCCCAAACTTTTGGCGACCAAACTCTCAAATTAGTCGCAAAAACAGGTTATTTCACCGACAAATTGTTTTAGTCGCCAAATCTCAATCAACGGCGACTAAAATATTAGTCGCTAAAAGTAGTAATTTGGCGACTATTTTTTTTTGGTTGCTGAAAATAAATTTTTTGCGACCAAATTTTTTGTCGCCAAAAAATATGTGACCTTCTGCGACCAAATTTGTAGTTGGTTGGCAAAAGTATACCACTTTCTGCGACCAACATATTTTTTGGTCGCCAAAATATAACCTTCTGCGACCAATAATATTTGGTCGCCAAAAATAATGATCATTCGCGACTAATTAATATTTGGTCGCCAAATGTCATTTTTTTGCGACCAAAATTTTTTTGGTCGGCAAAAGTGGTCGCAAAATGTGTAAATTCTTGTAGTGATAGTTGCAGAATAATGAGAACAACCCTTTAGCTCTCATGGTTTCGGGTAGATTATCCATGAAAATAGAATGGATAGACCCATTCATCCATCTATTCCGAACTCCCCTTCCGCCGTGTCTTCGAACCACCGGCTGCCATCCTCCATCGCTTGGCTTGACCATTATCTCTGTAATGAGTTTTCTTCAACTATTGTTGACGTACATAATTCTCTATATGTGAAAGATTCATAAAAAGCTTAATTGGGAATGAGAAAGAAAATGTGAATAAAAGCGTAAGTAATATTCTTACATATATTTATTTTTTGAGTACCGTGGTAATGTTGAATGAGATTATTATATACTATGGTCTATGTGATTGTTTGATTAGAATGAGATAAGATTTGAAAGAGTATTTTTGACATTTAAATAGTGGAGAAAAGATAATTCGGAAAGGGAACTAATTGTCCATGGGAGTTGTCAGATTCAACAATCCCATATATAGGATTAGCGGTCTCAATTGAACCTCTAATTGAGCCAAACAAACACTGAATTTGCCAATTTATCAATTGATAAAAATTGGTATTTTGATTTTGTGAAATATTAGGGACAACGAATTGGGTTAGCTCCCTTGGCCACCTATATATACATTTATCTCAGAGGTTGTTTGTTGTATTGGTTATTTCTTCCTCATTATGGGATTATTCATTGTATTGGTTGTTGGGCTTTTATAATTGTTGGACCATGATCCTTCACGTGTAATTTCTACCTACATGTAAGACTCTTGAGTTGGTTGCTAGACTCTTTTCTGTGTTGGAATTGTTGTTACCTAGGCCGAGGTCAGAGATTGTTTAATCATTAGGCCACTTAGTCTATTGCTTAAGATTTTAATTTTTCAAAGACCCAATAAGATAATACTTCATTTTGATGTTTAGCCTAAGGTCTCACAGAATCTTGAACTGCTACTGGATGTGATTGTTTTCGAATGATCTAGTTTGGACTCATAGGCTGATCACGAGGCTTATTTTCATTATTTAATTTGTTAGTTTTTTAAGTGCTGTATAGATCATTTAACAGAAAAACGTATAAAAAAAAATTTGATTCAATAATTGTAACTACTTACATGTCTTAAAAATATTAAAATTGACAAATATAATTTAAAAAACATTTTTTTAAAACAATTATGATTAAATTTAGTAGCAATGATAATTGGAATAATTTCACTTTTTAATTTTTTATTTTATTTTATTTTATATTTTAAAATTTTATGAATAAGCAAATATTATTTTATAAATCATTCATACATTTGGCAAGCAATCATCATTATTTTTAAATAATTTACCAATTCAATTGTTTGTTTAAACTTTCATTTTTAAACTACTAATATTATAATGTAGTGTTTGGTTCACTGAAATTGAATTGAATGGAGTCATTCTTTAGTCATAAAATTACTATTGTCTCAAAATGGTAATAATTTCATTTATAATCTTTTTAGTAAATCAAAAGTAAAAATGAACATTATGATGAAATGATTACTCTATTCTAACTTTATTTTAATAAATCAAATATAATTAAGACCTAACCAAATATAACTTAAAATCAAAATTATTTTAGAATTCTATTTTTCTAGACAGAATTTGGGGCCCAAAGTGGTGGCGTTACTGCCTCACCTGAGAGCCGGTCGTGTGTATTTGTTTGGGAAACATGTCATTGGGATGGGATTAAAAATTTATCAAAAAAATAACAGTAATACTATCATGTTTGATTAAGAAACAATAGCCCCCATATGGAAGATTATTCTTAAGAGAAGTGGGACACAAAAATAATTATGAACGTAGACAAATTGACTATATTACAAAAGTGATATGATTTTATCAATTCCCTCTCACAATTCTAAATCAATTTAAATGGTAAATAAAATATATAATTTAAAGTGGTTGATAATCTCTAGCCTAACTCATTTAGGCATCGTTTAGGAATTACATATTTTAGTTAAAAAATCACTATACATTATCATATTATTTTTTTTTATTTTTTTGTATATTATTTTTATTTTATAAAATATTAAAGAATTATTAAAATAATCTAAACCCAAACGAGACTTTAATCCAATGCTTCCAAATGAAACCTGGCCCCTCTGATTGCGTTCTTTAAAGTAATATTCATGGCCTTCCATGTAATGTTTGTATAATAGAATTAATGAAGGATACGTTATCGATTCACGGGTCACAAAATCTATAGAGGTATATGGATAAATTATGACGGTGGTTTTATATTTTGGTCCTCATGTTGTTTTGATGTATAAAATTTTAAGAGAGTTGTAATTGGCACGTACTTAATTTTTATAGACTTCTTATTTTTTTGAACTCCCACTTTAAATTCTAAATTTTAATAAGATTTCTTTAAATGCTCCACTTAATACTAATTTTACTCATATTCATAATATCATCACACTCAAGTGCACACCTACCTAATTTTGCACACCCTCTCTTTTTCTTCTCTCAGTAAACAATGGACGATTGATAGACAAATCGACTGCCCCTCTCTTCTCATAAATAATGGTCTCTTTCTCTTTGTCACCGTAAACGACGATATCTCAGTCGAAAATCTCATCTAAAATGTCTTTGACTGTCTATTTCTTCTTCTCTCAGTTAACCTTCAATTCCCCACCACATATTATTTTTTGTTTATCTTGGGGTAAAACCCTTGATATAAGAGGTTTTAGATGGAAAAACTCTCAGAAAAAACAAAAATAGAGAAAAAAATCTTACAAAATGGAATTGTTCAGCATTCTAGTGTCGAAAAGAATGTTTATGTTTAGCACTATATTATTTAACTAAATGTTTCTGTTCAATAGTGTATTATTGAACAGAACCTTAACAGTTGGCAAACTAGTATCGAACTGAAAACGATCGAAAATCATAAATGCAAGATAGATAAACTTATCCATGCAACACCAACCTCATCAGAATTATTGTCATTGTTCTCCATTAGAGGCAATTTTGGAAGTTCGTAAAAAGCCATTTTTTTACCTTTTTAACTTCTTTACACAAAAAAGCCACAAAAAAATAAGCTTTTTTAGCCAAAGACTAGCTTTTTTAGTAAAAAAAGCCAAAAAAATAAATTTTTTACCAACTTTCCAAACGCAAATGTAGAAAATCGGAGTCTGTAATAGGATTGTTTGCAATGTTAACTGATTTGGAACACCAAACACATTTGAAACTATCGAACAAAACATTAACTGATTAGGTGGTTTTAAATATTTTTCATTGAAGATGAATATGTGGGTTTAGGATGGTGATAAATAAGAATACGATTTTAGGGTTTTAATTAGTAAGGAATATGTATAAATGGGGATGGATGTGGGTGTACAATATTGTAAAGTGTCATTCTAATTTATTTTCATTTGGTGGGTGGATATTCCATTAAAAGTTATACTTTAATGTAATTTTACTTCAAGGAACAATGGTAATAAAAAAAAAGTGAGAATTGGAGGGTCTAAAGAAATTTCGTAAGTCCTAATAGCAGCACTCAATTTTAATTAACTTAATTTTGATTTAAATTTATAATTTTATCATAATTTGATCCAATTAATTATAACGCTTAGTATATTTTTAATAAAAAAAATATGCATATAAGGGGTGATTTGGGATTTGCTTATAGCTTATTTAGTGGCTTATTGGTTTTTTATCAAAATATATGTACAAAAGTAAAGAGGTAATGTCACAACTTATAGTAAATAAACTGCTTATTTAACTATTCTAAAAGTAAAATTATAAAACTCAATAAATTAACACCAACCAATTTGATAATAATTTATGATAAAAATCATTAATAATATTATTAATTGGAGTATATTGACATGAAATTTAAGATTAATAGTTAAAATTAAACTAATTAAAAGTATAACATCTAAAATAACACAAGGTTCAAAAGGTAGGGGCGACCAATATAATTTGTCCTAAATATATACAGCAAACCCTAGTGTATTAGCAAAACAGTGCTCATTCATTGTTCGGATTTCAGGGAACAATGCAAACCCTAGCTCTCCGAACAATTTTAAGGAAGAGAAAGCGGCGAGGAGGAAGAAGAAGAAGAACAAGAGAGAATGAAAAAGCCCAAATCAAAGCAACATCAGAACTCAATCTACTAAACCTTCCTGAAGAAATCCTTATCGAAATACTCTCAAGATTACCTCTCAAATCACTCCTCCAATTCAATCTCGTTTCCAAGCAATGGCGTTCTTTGATTCAATCAGGTTCTGTGAAAAGCGTTGTTCCAAAACACAAGGTTCTCGTTTGTGGAATGTTTTCATCTCTTTACTCCATCGATGAAGATTGTTGCGTGAAACGCGTTCCTAAACCAAACCAAAAAAACCCATCTCATGGTGATGTTGAAATCTTCGGTTCGTGTAATGGGTTGATTCTTATTCGGGTTCACGATGATTTGTTCTTATGGAATCCGCTCACCAGGTGTTCGAAGAAAGTCCTGGGATACAAGGACTTGCATGATGAGGACTACTATATTGTTTCTGGGCTTTGCTTTGATTCCTTGAGTAATGAGTACAAGGCTGTAATGGCCCTTTCTCATCTGACTCCTAGTTATGGAGGTGAATTTGCTGTGGTTGGTAATTTCCAAAGCAAAACTTGGACCGAAGTTCACTTCCCATACCGTTTCTCCAGTGTGAATTCAGGGCCCGTGCTGAATGAAAATCTACATTGGTTTGCCTCTAAGAAAAGTTCGGATCACTTCCTCGCACCCCATGAAATCGTTTACTTCAATCCGCGAATGAACAAATTCAAGAAGTTACCAATGCCACAGCCTAAGAATGGAGATGGAGATATTCTATTTGGTTTGGGAGTTTTGGAAGGATGCCTTTGTATGGTTCGTTGCTGTGATGAGCATCCAAGCCATCATGTGCGTATTGTTGAGGTATTGGCAATGAAAGAATATGGTGAGCAAGAATCTTGGATTACTATGTTCATCTTATCAAATATTCCCAATATAAATATTTATGATGAGCTAGTGCCATTGTGTTCTGCAAAGAATGGTGAAGTTCTAATGAAAGTTGCCATGGATCATATACGAGCTTACAATCCTATTGACAACTCTCAAAGGAAAGTTAGAATTCCAAACAAACGTAACTGTTTGAATGCAATTGTATATGAGGAAAGTTTAGTTACACCTCCTGACAACAATTGGGAAGAGGAAGAGTTGAGAGGAAAAGCAACATATGTCGAAACATGGCTTTCAGGCTCTTGGCAAAAAATTAGGAAGGTAAGAGGTTATTGGAAATATGGTGAGTCGAGCTTCATAGAGGAAGAATATACAGAGTCAGATTTGGAAGAGCTATCCATGTGAAGAGGTGACTTAAGATTAATAGAACTTTAAAATTATATAGTAATAATAATAAATTGATTAGAGACCAATTTTCATGGAAGTATGAAGTGTTATGCTTGCTTTGTGATTAATAGATTTTCATATCACATTGGAATATTGTGCTCTAATCATTTAATATGTGATTTCAGTTGTTTTTGGCTGAAATCAGTTGTTTTACTTTATATTTATGATATGTGTTATCTCAACTTAACTACTCATAAATTATTTAGAATTATTATTTTGTGACTTAAATTTATTCTACATATAAATCTCATACTACACAAATTGAATTTTCGCCACACAATCACTCATCCAGAAAAAAAAAATATGGATGTATGGCCACGCTTGTTTGGTTCCATAGGATGGAAGTGATTGAGAGTACGATGAGATTGAGTGAGGAGATTATTAGTGCGGTGGTATTAAGGTACAGATGTAGGATAAAGAGTGTTTGTTTGTATACCACCGGATTAGTAATATATAGTATTAATATATGAAATTAATTCTCTCACTCAATTTTTAATCCCAACCCTCCCGTGACTTTGTTAGTCCTATCACATGGGAGAATTACTAGTCCAACGGGATAGTTAATCCTCTCACTCATATCCTCAACCAAACTCTCTTTAAGTGAGCCCCTCAAACTATTAGTCCAATCCCTCCACCTAAAGAGTCAAACAAACATGGCCTATAAGTCTAACTCCCACATTTTGGTGGTGTTTGTTTGGAAGGATTGGCCCATGGGATAGGACTAATAGTCCATCTAGACTAATAGTCGGTTTAGTCCATTGTTTGATTGAAATTTTTTGCATCGAACTATTAATCTCAAATATGATGGACTATTGTATCCCATGGGGGGACTGAGATACAAATCATAGGATAACTCATCTCATGGGATTAGGTAATGAAATTATATTTTTGACCCTCTACTATTTAATATCTTTTTAAAAATAAAATTTATTTATTAAATTATTTATACTATTATACTTAATAAAGTATTTATTAAATTATTTATACTTAATAAAATTTATTTCTTGAATTATTTATACTTTATTAAATTACTTATTTTTAATATTATGGTATTAATTATACTTGGTAAAGTAAAATAAAATTTAAAAATCTCAACTACAAATTAAAATAAATTTATGTAATTTTTATTAATATTTTATTTATTTATTTTTTTAAATGTTCTAGTTAAAAAATATTTATAATTTAGATTTAATATTCATATTATTTAGTAAATAATTTAAAAAGGCAAAATAGTCTTTTGAGCATTTTTCATTATCCATAATATCCCAAACAAATATAGGATTCAATAGAATTGTCCAATTCAGACATCTAATCACATGATTAAACAAACATATGATACAAATTCAGTCCAATCAAATAGTCCGGGGACAATGTATCCCAAGACTAACAGTCTTGTGCTGATAAAAAAGAAAAGACTAACAATCTGGTAGATTATAATCCCCTTTATCTAGTCATTCAAAACAAACACACCGTTATTGTATCAATAATGATACAGTGATCATAATTTTATATTATATTTGATTTATCATGGAATTCCACACCATTTTGTCGAAAACAGACATTAGGGGTAATCTGGTGATGAGAATTCATATGATAGACTAAGCGTGACAAAGAAATATAATTATTGTAACATTATTAAATGAATATTTGCACAAATAAGGTTATAATGTATGAGTAATGTTATGGATCATGAAAAAAATATCATGAAATGCATTATAAAGATTTTTTATCCTTTGATTAGTGTGTGGTGTTTTATTGTATGTATAATCCAAAGGTAAAGAATCTTTCATGATTATTTTTATGATATTTTTTTATGATTCCTAACATTACTCATAATGTATTGCTAAACTGAGTGACTTGGTTGTAAACAGTTGGTTTTTGAAGGTTGTAACTCATATGTTTTGTTTTGTTTTTTTTTTTCACGATTACAAAAATAATAATAGAGTTATTTGGCAACAAGAGCATTGTGCTGCTTGTTATATCCCCCTTAAAAAATATAGTGTATATTACAAATCTACCTCTGTTGAGGTTTTTTAAAATACAAATTGTCTTATATAATTTTGAAAATTATATCCTGTTTCTTCAAAATTTTAATCTCATAACAAATGATCACTTTTATTAATTAATTATTACGTTAATTAATAGTTTTTAATAATGTCAAAAATATTTTAAATTAATAATTTTGATAAATTTATTGTTGCATAAAAGAGTAGTTAAGGATTTTACTTTTTCTATTAATTCTATTAAATAAAAAAAATTTGACAAGAGATATTTGTAATTTTTAGAATCACATTAGGTAATTCGTATTTTAAACAAACTTCAAAGGTGTATTTGTAATTTATCCAAAAATATATCACTATTCTCACATAAAATGTAGTACTGAGATCACCACTACCACCACCAGCACCACCACCCACCCCCCACTCGCTACCACCTACCATCCGTCACCTTCACCCATCACCATCGCACCCGTCACCTACCCGCCACCACCACCAGCCACTCGCTACCACCCACCAGCCGCCACCGTCACCCACCCACTCACCACCACCACCAGGTACCCACCACCCACCGTCACCACTTTCCACCACCCGCCACCCGCCACTGCCACCACCACCACCACCACCCATTCGCTACCACCCACCACCGTCACCCACCCACCCTCCACCACCAGCTACCCACCACCTACCGTCTTTCGCCGTCACTTGCCACCACCGTCTTTCACCGCCACTTGCCACTACTTGTCATTTTTCACTCTTTTTTATATTTTTTAAATTTTGTAAACATTTGTCAATTACCAAACGCGTTTATAGTTTATGTTTTTCTAAAAATAAACAAAAAATAAACAAAAACCAGTTTGTAAAATTTTTATAAATATAAACTGAAAATGTAAACGTTACCAAACACACCCGGCAACAAGAGCATTGTGCTACTTGTTATATCCCCCTTAAAAAATATAGTGTATATTACAAATCTACCTCTCTTGAGGTTTTTTAAAATACAAATTGTCTTATATAATTTTGAAAATTATATCCTGTTTCTTCAAAATTTTAATCTCATAACAAATGATCACTTTTATTAATTAATCATTAAGTTAATTAATAGTTTTTAATAATGTCAAAAATATTTTAAATTAAAAATTTTGATAAATTTATTGTTGCATAAAAGAGTAGTTAAGGATTTTACTTTTTCTATTAATTCTATTAAATAAAAAAAATTTGACAAGAGTTTATTGTTGCATAAAAGAGTAGTTAAGGATTTTACTTTTTCTATTAATTCTATTAAATAAAAAAAATTTGACAAGAGATATTTGTAATTTTTAGAATCACATTAGGTAATTCGTATTTTAAACAAACTTCAAAGGTGTATTTGTAATTTATCCAAAAATATATCACTATTCTCACATAAAATGTAGTACTGAGATTTTAATAATTACGTATTATTTTAATAAATATTTTATTTTAAAATGATAAGTCTTAATAGTCTATCTATTTTTGTGGTGGTATGTTGATGGTGCACTAGGACGACAAAGCAAGTCATATTAGGTGGATGTGACAGTCACAAAATAATTGCAATATAAAAAATAAAAACAAAAAATTGTGTAACTTTGATATAAAAGAAGAATTACACCAAATACATGAATGAATTTTCACAATATACACGGTAGAATTGCATCACCGTGAAAAGATAAATTTTACCATTGAAATGCCACTTTCCTTATTCTTTGGGACATGCCATGTAGATTGGATTAATAATTTAATATAAAAACATAATTCATGTTTGTGTTTGATTAAGAGAATTGTGATTGAGATTAGTCTGTCCAGATGCCAGATTCGATATTCTCATATGAGGACAATTGAGTCCTAAAAGAAGGGGGTGAAATAAAAAATAAAAAATTAAGAGATTAAAATTAATTCTTTAAATTATAAAATTGTTAAGATTCTATTAAGGAAAAATTAAGGAAACATCCCTCTCTAACTTTGTGTAGTAGAAGAGGTCCAAGATCTTTTTTTTGATTAACTAAGATCCCTCGACGAAATTTCTCTATGATCATACCAGAGAAATTTCAAAATTTCTTTGTTAAAATTGAATTTTTTTTGTGTCGGGACCAAAATTTTTCTAAATCAGGTGAAATTTCTCTGAGTGAGTGAAATTTTTCTTAGTCGATTTTTTTTTTGTAAAAATGTTGAGAGACCTTAATTATTATGAAAATATTATACATCATTTATCTTATAAAATCTTAATATCAAGGATCTTTAAAAAAAAAATCCCTTTTTATTAACCACTCTTCCTAATTCTGAGATAATTCAAATATTGAATAAGATACACAATATAACACTTTCTAAAAAAAATAAAAGTAGAAATACAATATAAAATAGAGAAACTTATGTGTAGGTCCTAATAGGTGAATTTATTGTCTAATAAGTCCTAGGATAAGTAATAGTGTTTTTCATCAAACATTATTAAAAAAAGTCACTAATTATTAATTTTTAGCGGCAATTTAAAAAAAAATCGTCACAAAAAAATGTTACTAATTTTTAACTTTCAGCGACAGTTTGAAAAATTCGTCACAAAAATCACTGATTATAAGTTTTAATTACAATTTATAAAAATCATGACAAAAAAAAAGAGTCACTAATTGTTAATTTTTATCGATGTATGTAAAAATCGTTACAAAAAATTATTTTTAGTGATGATTTTACTAGGACTGATTTTTAATAGAATTTGATGGGAATTAAATCCAACTATTAGAACCTATTGATAATTACCTTATAAAATAAGTTGGATGGAATTCAAACCTAAGAGCCCCAATATGAAAGGGAATATATATAGTTTTAAATTAAAATCAAATTTTATATTTTAAAAATTTATCAAAATCAAACTTTATATTTTACAAATTTAATAATACAACACACCCACTAGTATCTATTATAGTATATATTTGACTCTGTTAAAAACTC